GTGTGTGTGTGTGTGTGGGGGTGTGTGTGTGTGTGGGTGTGTGTGTGTGTGTGTGTGTGTGTGTGTGTGTGTGTGTGTGTGTGTGTGTGTGTGTGTGTGTGTGTGTGTGTGTGTGTGTGTGTGTGTGTGTGTGTGTGTGTGTGTGTGTGTGTGTGTGTGTGTTTGTGTGTGTGTGTGTGTGTGGTGTGTGTGTGTGTGTGTGTGTGTGTGTGTGTGTGTGTGTGTGTGTGTGTGTGTGTGTGTGTGTGTGTGTGTGTGTGTGTGTGTGTGTTTTTGGATCCTGACCCCGCCGATCTGAGTGAGGGGTGCCACCGAATTGTAGAAATGAAGCAAATCCCATGTGTTGTTAGACCCTGACCTCGCTGATCTGCGTGAGGGGTGCCACCTGATCTTAGAAATGTAGCAACTCCTTTGTGTTTTTGGACCCTGACCCCGCCGATCTGCGTGACGGGTGCCACCGAATGTCAGAAATGTGGCGAATCCTGTGTTTTTGTTGGACCCTGACCCTGCCGATCTGCGTGAGGGGTGCCACCGAATTTCAAAAATGATACAAATCCACTGTGTTTTTGGACCCTCACCCCGCCGATCTGCGTGAGGGTGCCACCGAATTCTAGAAATGTTGTAAATCCCATGTGTTTTTGGTCCCTGACCCCGTCGAGTTGTGGAGGGGTGTAAATTTTTACCCCCACAGAAATTATGAGAACTCTTTTTGGCCGTGGTAAAAATGCCCGTTTTGGGCCTCCCCCCTCGCGCGGTCCATCAACAAGAAACAGCAAGCAGCAAGAAGTCAACAAGGAACAGTAAGCAGCAAGAAGCAGAACTGTAACAGTGGAAACTGGAAGCTGCAACTGGTACAGGAAACTGCGAATTCCCGGCCCACAGCCTGGTGGCCCCACAAGGGGGCCAGCGGATTTCTCGTCCAAAAACGCCCCTGTAGGAGGGCAGGCCCGGCTCAACGCCAGAGGTCCGGGTACGTCTTCCCTCGCCCTCCCACCTGGCAGGCTGCCAAAGCCGTCCCTTCCCCAGGCTTCCCCAGGCTTCTCCTTGTCTGTCGCCGCCGTCGCCGTGGCCGCTGTCGCCCCAGAGGCTTCGCCGTCGCTGTTTCCCGGCGCCGCCAACGTCGGCGTTGTCGTCCCAACCCCAGACCTCTCTGAGCCCCTTCGAGCCCGCCCGCTCCTCCCCGAAACGCCTCCAGACCTCCCCGACGCCCGACGACTCCGCCGTCGCCTTTGCCGTTTTCGTCGTCGTCATCCCCCCTCCCAAGCCGCCCCCCGGTCCTTCCCAGCCCCTCCGAGCCTCGCCGCTCCTGACCCCTTCTCAAACCCGACGACGAGGACGACTCCGCTGCCGTCGTCGTCGTCGTCGACGACGACGACGTCGCCCTCGCCATCGCTGTCGTCGCTATCGCCATCGCCGCCGTCGCCGTCGCCATCGCCCATGGCCTATCGCCGTCGTCGCCGCCGCCGTCGCCATCGCCGCCACGCCCCAGGCGGCCGCGCACCTGTCCCACGGCGGCCCGTTCCCTGACGCCGCGGCGGCGCTCTCCTGGGAGGGGCGGCTGGTGGCCGCCACGCCGGCGTGGTTACGGCTGGGCCGTGCCGCGGCCTCGGTTGCGCCGCGGCCTGCGTCGCGGGCTCGTCGCCATCGCCGTCGTCGTCGTCGTCGCCCGTCGCCGCCTACGTTCCATTGCCGTGGTTTCCATCGAGATCGCTCAACCGCAGCCGTCGTCGTCGTCGTCGTCGTCGTCGTCGTCGTCGTCCCAGTGTCGTCGATCCTTCGTCATCGTCACCGTCGTCATTCCATCGCTGTCGTTACTGCCGTCGCCGCCGTCGTCGTCAGAGGGGGCGCAGGGATTTCCAGGAGACCGCAGATACCCGGGGGACGCCCCGAAGCCTCCGAGAGCCCACGCTGCGCGACGCGCACCGCGAGGGTGCAGTGCGCGAAGTTCTGTGGCCCAGAGTCGCACAACGCTGCTGTCCTCCGGAAGCTACCACGAGCAGTAGCAGCTGCAGACGTCACCGAGTGCCACGTCGGAGTGGCACTCGGTGACATCTGCAGTTGGGGAGGGGCTCAGTGTTCCTTGATTGTTCTGCAGTTTGCCTTCGGTTTTCCCGAGGTTTTCCATGGGATATCGAAGTTCAACTTCTGGGAGAAAGGGGCCTCGTTCCTTGTTTGGAATTCCTCAGGTCAACGCCCCCACTGTAGCAGCCGCAGGTGTCACCGAGTGCCACGCTGGAGTGGCACACGTGTCCCCTCCTCCCCCCCCACTCCCGGCTTCTGATCAGGTGGACAGCGCGCTGCTGCTCGCACTGGCGGAGGACGCCCGCGCGGCTGCGCCGTGCCGCCCGACGTGCGTCCCCCCAGTCCTCCGGCGTCGGGAAGCCCAGACAGAAACGGTGTAGAAACCACTGTGCAAACAGAAATTGTCGGAGCTCAGAGTGGATTTCTTGCATCGGCGAAGGCGGCGCCTCCGGCGCCGCCCGTGGCGCGGTCCGCGCTCCAGGCAGGGTTTGTCCAGCGCCACCGATCCAAGAAGTCCGCGCGGACGGCCGACGGTTCTGCTTATGCGGCTCGTCGCTTCAATTCAAATCATCGGAGGTTGATCGACCTCCTACCCTGACACGTCGATTAGCGAAGTGGCCGTTTTCGCTTCGCGAGAGAGCGTCGCGGCCGTCATGTTTGCTGGTCCAGGTCCGTCGGTTTCGGTCCGAGGCCGTTGTCACGAAGTCGAGGTTTACTAAAGGGAGGTTTGTCCACCGCCGAGCAAAAAAGCATTGGACGCTGTTCCTCAGATTCGGCTTCCCCTGGGGGCGGCTTTCCGGGCCCCGTGGCCGCCGAACATGCTGGCCGTGTCGCACAAGTTCTCGCGGAAGGGGAGAAACGGGAGGAGGACCGGGCATGGGCACCAACACCACAACGGGGTGGTGCGTCCACCGGGGGAGGATGATCATAGATTTCGGTGGTGGTGGCAATATTTCGGCCGCCTGGGAAGCAAGAATATTACCGCCATCACCGAGATCGGGATCATCTTCCCTCAGTGGAGGCACACCGCCGATTTTGGTGTTGGTGTCAATCTCTGGGCCTGCCATCATGGCTTTGTTCGGAATGGAAAGGAGAGCAGGAGGACGGGAAGGAGGAGGAGGAGGACCCCATCACGGCGGTACGTTGCGCCTGGGAGGGCGAGGAGGACCAAGAGATCGGACGGCCTGATCCTCCCCGACCTCTGGGTCCTCCTTTTCCAGCACCTCCTAAGAATCCCCACGCAGCTGGCACTGGGGTTCTCTTCGGTCTTTCACGTGTTTGCGCTCTACGCCCTGGAATGATGTTCGTCTTGGGCCCACGGGGCATTGGGCGGCCTTCGGCGAAGGGGTTCGCGCTCTTGACCCAAGATCGTGCGGCCATGTGCTGGCTGTAACGCTCTTACGCACATTTGAGCGCGTTCAGCCAGCCAAGCTCCTCCTTCCCCTTCTCCTGTTCTGGGCCTGCGCGTGGGCCCATCGTCGGGCCCTCCCATCCGCCCCCTCGTCCCAAGAACCCCCAGGACTCCAGAAGACCCCCCTCGAGCGCCAGAAATCCTCCAGCCTCCTCCCCCTCTTGTTCTGGACCTTCATTGGCCCCTCGTCGCCATGGCGGGATCCCTCGAGATTCTGGTCAGAACGCGCACCCGGAGAGGTCCGGGTGCCGATCTTGAGGGGGAAGGCGGGAGGAGGGAGGAGTCTTGTTGTCGTGCCTCCTGGCTTTCCTTGCACTTGGGACGGGCGCCACGTTCGAACGCGTCTGGGAACCAACGGGCCAGAGATTGTGGGAGGAATCTCTTACACACTGCCCCTCTGGGGCGTCGTACTTGTATGCCTTTTGTTGGGTAGTTTCGCGAAGGCTTCCTGGCACTCCACAAGTCGGCAGTCGTGTTTCTTTCTGTTTTTCCCAACCCTCCTTGGTTGGGTATTCGTTTTGAATAGAGCAGTGTGGTCGCGTCCCTTCTCCCGCCTCCCGCCTCCCGCCTCCCGCCTCTTCTTGTCTTGCCTGCGGGGGGCTGCGATCTGTGAAACTGTCGCCACTTTCGAGGCCTGCTGGGGGGTCCGGCATAAAGGGTAATTGCGGCAGATTCAAATTAGACCTCGCCATCCCTGGGGGGCTGCGATCTGTGAAACTGTCGCCACTTTCGAGGCCTGCTGGGGGGTCCTGCATAGAGGGTAACCGCGGCAGATTCAAATTAGACCTCGCCATCCCTGGGGGGATGCGATCTGTGAAACTGTCGCCACTTTCGAGGCCTGCTGGGGGGTCCTGCATAGAGGGTAACCGCGGCAGATTCAAATTAGACCTCGCCATCCCTGGGGGGCTGCGATCTGTGAAACTGTCGCCACTTTCGAGGCCTGCTGGGGGGCCCAGCACAGTGAGGGCCACGCGCGGATTCAAATTAGACCTCGCCATCCCTGGGGGGCTGCGATCTGCGAAACTGTCGCCATTTTCGAGGCCTGCTGGGGGGCCCAGCACAGTGAGGGCCACGCGCGGATTCAAATTAGACCTCGCCATCCCTGGGGGGCTGCGATCTGCGAAACTGTCGCCATTTTCGAGGCCTGCTGGGGGGCCCAGCACAGTGAGGGCCACGCGCGGATTCAAATTAGACCTCGCCATCCCTGGGGGGCTGCTGATCTGCGAACTGTCGCCATTTTCGTGCTGGGGGGCCCGCACAAAAGGGCCACGGGCAGATTCAAATTATATTCGCCATCCCTGGGGGGGCTGCGATCTGCGAAACTTCGCCATTTTCGAGGCCTGCTGGGGGGCCCAGCACAGTGAGGTCCACGGGCAGATTCAAATTAGACCTCGCCGTCCCTGGGGGGCTGCGATCTGCGAAACTGTCGCCATTTTCGAGGCCTGCTGGGGGCCCCAGCACAGTGAGGGCCACGCGCTGATTCAAATTAGACCTCGCCATCCCTGGGGGGCTGCGATCTGCGAAACTGTCGCCATTTTCGAGGCCTGCTGGGGGGCCCAGCACAGTGAGGGCCACGCGCAGATTCAAATTAGACCTCGCCATCCCTGGGGGGCTGCGATCTGCGAAACTGTCGCCATTTTCGAGGCCTGCTGGGGGGCCCAGCACAGTGAGGGCCACGCGCGGATTCAAATTAGACCTCGCCATCCCTGGGGGGCTGCGATCTGCGAAACTGTCGCCATTTTCGAGGCCTGCTGGGGGGCCCAGCACAGTGAGGGCCACGGGCAGATTCAAATGAGACCTCGCCATCCCTGCGGGGCTGCGATCTGCGAACCTGTCGCCACTTTCGAGGCCTGCTGTGATCCCCGTTTTCGAAGTGGCTAGGAGTGCTCAGGAATTGTAAATCATCAGCTTTATCAAGCCCTTTTCCTGTAGCCAGTGTCCTGCGAGTCTCCCGAATTCCGTCTGCAGACATATGTAACCCTCGCTCCGTCATCGCCCCCTTATAAAGTATCCTAAACTATTTGCGCCCCGCTTTTGCGCAGGGGTTGGGTACGTCGCCAGGGTAATTTTCTGGCTTTATCTTCTCCCCTCCCCTCCCCCCCAGACCGGGACAGGGCAGAGAAGGGAGACGGGAGGAGGGAGGAGCCGGGCGGGAGGAGGGGTGCTGGGAAGAAAGGAGGGAGGGACGGGGAAGAGTATGGAGAAGGAGGAGGAGGAGCAGGAGGATGAGGAGGATGAGGAGGACGAGGGAGAGTAGTAGTAATAGTAGTAGTAGTAGTAGTAGTAGTAGTAGTCGTAGTCGTAGTCGTAGTCGTAGTCGTAGTCGTAGTCGTAGTCGTAGTCGTAGAAAGTAGTAGTAGTAGTAGTAGTAGTAGTAGTAGTAGTAGTAGTAGTAGTAGTAGTAGTAGTAGTAGTAGTAGTAGTAGTAGTAGCAGCAGCAGCAGCAGTAGCAGTAGCAGTAGCAGTAGCAGTAGCAGCAGCAGCAGCAGCAGCAGCAGCAGGAGTAGTAGTAGTAGTAGTAGTAGTAGTAGTAGTAGTAGTAGTAGTAGTAGTAGTAGTAGTAGTAGTAGAGGAGGAGGAGGAGGAGGACGAGGGAGAGGAGGAGGAGGAGGAGGAGGAGAAACATGGGGAGGAGCGAGGATGGACGTCTGGAACGGGCGATGAGCGCGCCAGCGTGAGAGACCTTCCCTCCCCCTGGGGCTCGGGAGAGGACCATCCGGGGACGGCCATCGAAGGCGTTGATGGTGTTGGGGAGGGGGAGGTTCGATTGGCATCGCTCGGACGTGTGCATTTTTCCTTCGGCGAGGACCATCGAGGAGCATCCTCGATCACATGGCGAAAAAACCACGCACGAGACCGAACAAAACCACAGGGAGTGGACGTCCGAGCGATGGCGAGGGTTGGGGAGGGGGAGTGATTCGAGCAGGGGATCGTCTGAAGAACTGATTTGCCTCAAAAGGAGTTTTCTCGTCGGACCTTCGGGACTCAGAAGAGGGCCGTCAGGGGACTGCCATCGAAGGCGTTGATGGTTGGGGAGAGGGAGGATCGTCTGCAGAACTGATTTACCCCAAAAGGAGGTTTCTCACCTACGGAAGATACTTAGAATTCTTGGTCGGTGTGCGGAAATTCCATCCGTTTGTCGTAGATTCGATAAAATGGGGAATCCAGCTTGGGGCAAACCAATTCGAGAGAGCAGTTTGGCGCCAGCTGCACCTCGCCAAGGCGACGGCCCAGTCCCCGTACAGCAGAGAAGGATGATGCAAAGGCGCGGGCCGTGAGATTGCAGAGGCGCTGCTCTCGAGTCCCGGCATCCCGGAAAGGCGTGAAATACTCTGGATGTCGGAAGTGGGTGTGGCATAAAGGGGTATGGTGCCAATCGTAGAAATGGCGATGCTATCTGCGATAAATGACATCGCCCTCTGCAAACAAAAATGAACCCACACCCCTTTATACCATACCCCTCTCCTACCTCCAGAATGACCGTGCGTGGCCCCGAGGGACAGGGGGCTCTCGATTTGTGTTTGTGCTCGGCTTCCTCGTTGGTGGTTCCCAGGGCCGCAGGGCTGGCAAGAGCGCCTGGAGATGAAAGACTGGCCCCCGGGGAAAACCTCCCAGGTCCAGGAATCCTTTCCCGCAGGGCCGTTGCTATTGCCTTCGTTGTGCGGATTTCCCATTGGGCTCCGACATCTGTGGACGCAGCCCCCCGTGCCTTTACCCTCCAGTGCCGAGTAAAGCTTGGTGTGGTAATGTCTCGGTATCCCTGGTGCGCCATGGAGGCGTCAGTCGCAGTTCTAGCAAGGGGCGTTGCCTTCCAGACGGTCTCGCGCATGTCGGACCGTTGGTGTCTGGTGTTGGCTGCCATGCTCCGAAGGAGATACATGAACC